CTTAATATCATAATCAATGTTAACAATACCGGTACGTAACGGGATGTTCTATTTTATGGTATCAGAGCAGTTTACTAGGGAACTCTGATTGTTGTATGATTTTGCTAAGTGTTGTATAGTTGTATGTAGACTCTTATTGATTATTGCACGTGATTCTTTAGTGTGGGTCTGATCAACCCATTCCTTTGTGTTATATGTGTGGTCATCATAAGAAGCCTGTGTGGTAACCTTGTAGCACCTAATACAAGTTTGTAGCCAGATACTGTGGCTGCAGTGTTGGCTGCTCCACAAACAGAGATGTCTTACGACGAAAGACTTCATCCGACCGAGCGTGTCTCCATGGGAAGCACGGGTCATTTTGTTAATGAGGCAATATGTCTTACGCCATTACTTAACCGTGATGGTGCTCTGTTTGAGAATGTGAACTTCTCTTTAAGGAAACTGAGTGTGGAACACTTGGAATTTGTGGCAAGGCCACGTGTGATCTTGTATATGCGAGGCAGTGCATGTACAAGTAGTTGTGAGTTGAGTGGTCTCCATGACTCTAGGATTTTATTTTGATTATTGATATGCGTCATGAGTAGTTGGCATGTTAACACCATGGATAGTGTTAAGCATGAAATAAGTACGATGAACTGTGCTAATATATCAATGTTATTTCACCTTTGACTGACTCTCAATTTTGCAGATACCATGGAGATTGAGGTATATCGCTACATATAGTTTTTGGTTATTATGTTATAGAAATTGAAAATTTTGCAGGTGTACGTGAACTAAGGTACGCTACTATGTAAATGAGTATGTTAACTAACATGTATTGGTTGAAATGAACATGATTATGATTAAGTACTGTGAAATGAACATGATTATGATTTCGTACTGTGAAATGAATATGAATTTATTTTGAGGATATTGATTATAAATTGTAAGTCTTGCCGAGGTTAGAGTCATTGAATAGGGCCAAACTCACTCGAGTGTTGTGTAGATTTGAGTTTGTGGGGTCAGGTCACTTCTATTGAGAAAGTGACTGGTGATCCCCGAAAATCGTTGGCATTTTGTTGTCAATAAGAAGTTTCGAGATTTGAAGGTAACTTCCTGGTTTGAGGATGCACTTCTCGAGATCGAGACTACGAGAGTCGAGAATGAGCTTATGGAAAAGAACACGGACTGTGTCTTGGAATGTGGAAGGACATAGTTGTTTATATGTCCAAGCGTTTGATTTGCCATAAGGTGAAGATTGAAAACCAGAAGCCGTTTGGTAAGCTTCAACCTCTTGAGGTACTGCAGTGGAAGTGGGAAGGTATTTCCATGAACTTCGTGGTGGGTTGGCCTAAGACTCAGGCTGGTTTTGACTCTAGTTGGGTCATTGTGGACAGATTATCAAAGTCTGCCCACTTTCTTCTGGTACATGTGAGTTTCTCTTCATAGCAGTTGGCCAAACCGGGTGTTCGCGAAATCGTGAGTCTTCACGGGGTGCCCGAGAGTATCATCAGTGATAGGGACCCGAAGTTCACCTGTCGGTTCGGGGAGGCGATGCAGAGAGCTTTTGGAACTCAGTTGCTACTGAGTACAGCGTATCACCCTCAGACTGTTGGACAGACTGAGCGGATCATCCAGACCTTGGAGGACATGTCGAGGGCTTGCACTTTAGAGCAGGGCCCAGCATGGGATAGGTACCTGGCATCAGTTGAGTTTTTGTGCAACTGTGTTTTCCTTGCTAGCCCGGGTAGGGAACCCTACGAGGCGCTATTTGGTAGGAGGTGTAGAACTCCTACCTGTTGGTCTGAGGTTGGAGATAAAGAGTTGTTTGTCTTGGACCTTGTCCAATTTACCACCAGCCGATTCAGATGATCAGAGGAAAGCTGAAGCAGGCGCAGAGTCGCCAGGAGAACTACATTGATGTTAAGCATCGTCCACTGGAGTTCAGTTGAGGTGAGCACGCGTTTGTGAGACTTTCACTGTCACCAGTGTTGTTCGGAAACTCGGAGTGAGGAAACTGAGCCCTCAATACATTGGGCCATACCAGTTACGTGGTAGAGTAGGACCTGTTGCCTACCGATTTGCCTTGTCTCCGAACTTGACCAACACTCACGACGTGTTTTACGTGTCTCAACTTTGCAAGTTTGTAGCGGATCCTTCGCACGTTGTACAACCGGATGTTGTGGAGGTTCGGGAGAACTTGAAAACTCTCGTCGGACCACTCAAGTTTCTCTATCGTGGCGAGACGCAATTGAGGAGCGAGATCATTTCAATGGTCAGAGTACGATGAACGGGAAGAATTCCTGAAGGGTAATTTTGGGAGCGAGAGGACGAGCTTCTCCGGTAGTATCTCGCGCTTTGAGAAAAGTATGTTTTCTGATTTTGAGGGCAAAATCCTAAAAAGGTGCGGTGAATGTAAGAACCTGCACCGTTAATTAAGGAAGTTAATTAATTAATTAAGAGAAATTAGGAAATAATTCCATAATGGACCCTAATAATTATTATGAGGCTTTAATAATTATAGTAAGTGAGTAATAATGCTGAAAGTCGCTTTTCTGACGAAAAGTGCAGATATCGGTTCTGCTACTCGGTATAAATATGTACCGATGAAGTATCCCGGATAATTATAATAAGTGCTTGAATATTCCTAGAATATTATATAGGACTTGTAAAAGAAGTTTCAAGTCAAAATAATGAGAATTGATGTCAGAATTGATACTGTCAGTGTTAAAAAGCGTACCGAAAAAGTATTACGAAAAATTAATATAAAAATATGAAAAATCCTAGAAAAATGGGTAGGTTCAGAATATGAAGTTTGAGATTAAAATGATAAGCGTAGCTATTAACACTAATACTGCGCGATTAAACTTAAGTGGCTTATAAATACGAGGGGCACACATTTCTAGGTCAGATTTTTCTCCTTCCTACGTGACATTCTGAGTCTCCTTGGCTGCCACCTTCTTCTCCATTGCAAAGTTGGAGCTTTTCTTCATTTTTAAGCCAAAGACTCCACCTTTTCTTCTTGAAAAACCTTCTGCGTCATTGTGTGAGCTTGTAGCAAGCTTTGGGGGAGTGGGGAGAGTGTTCTTGGGAGCTCTTGATTATGTTTTCTGAGTGTGTGTGGGCTACCCTCCTTGGTTTTGGGAGTGTGAGTGCTTTCCACCTCCATTGGAGCTTAAAGAACCAATATTTTGAGGGAAAGAACCTACCTTGGTGTGGTGATTTTCGTGCATCACTAAGGCAGAGGCTTAGGGCACTTCATTGATCATCAAAGTCTCTTCTTTTTCTGAGTTCAAGAACCCCATAGGTATACCATGATCACTTTCTTGAAAATACTTGATTTTAGCTTGTTTAAGTCACTAAAAGAGGGAGCTTTGATTAATCAAGTTAAAAGTGGTTAATATATGCATGATAAATGTTGTTGAACATCTGTTTTGATGAAAAACCGGACTTGGGAGCTTGGGGAAGCATTTGGGTCTCGGTTTATGCAGAAAAATCTGCATTTTCACGTTTCTGCACAGGTGGTAATCGATTACCTTTGAGTGGTAATCGATTACCCCCTGTATGGTAATCGATTACCTAGTGCAAATGTGACAGCAATGACCTAGTTTAGTAAAATTGCGATTTCTCGAGCTACAGAGCTCCTTATTGAGTGAGGTTTGTACCTATGTGAAGCTAACACATAGGGCTACAACTATGTAAAATTTAGTAGCCATTGGATCAGATTTTTGATCGCAGTGTAAATTTTAAGTCGCGTTTTGGTTGCTAGAAATTCCGTTTGCAGCAGTCACCATGCGTAAAACATAACCGGAGTTATACAACTCCGATTGAGACATAAAGTATATCGTTGGAAACCTCAAGATGTCTAGTTTAACATTGTATATATTAGAATATGAATATTGATATAACTGTTGGTCTAAAAAAGATTATGATTCTGCTGTGTTTGGACTTTGAGTTTGTGCGAACTCTTGGCTTGGATAGCTAGCTTGCAAGGTAAGCTTTCGTGTCCTCGGTTTAGTCATTGTTGGTTCAACCATGTCCCTTGGGGGTATGGTTATATGCATGATGTTGTTTTCATGATATATTGATTTGTGAAATGTTGTTGAGCTGTTATATGCAAGTGCCTTTATGATATGCATATGGTGTTCTACCTATACGGTAAGCCTGAGTATGTGGTACATACAATAGGGTGAGGCTGTGGGTGAGGTGCAAGCGATGTTCCTTGTACTAACTGTAGGTAATAGACGTATTCCTGCATTTCTCTGGCAAGTAGAATAGTGTTGACACACATGGCATGAATATCTGTTGCACTGCATAGTTTTTGAACTTATATTAGAATTACTGCTTTTGAACTTATATTGCACATGTAAGTGAGCTTGGGGTAGAATATCCTTGAGGACCCCTTGTCTTAATGAGATTTCTTGTTTAGAGATCTCACCCCACGTTTGGGGACGCTTATATCAGGTTCAGGTAACCTAGGGGTTGAGACCTCTAGTGGTAGGAGGCCAGAGCTGAGTTAGATATTGTTGTTAATTGCTAACATGTTGGATGCTGGATATGCCTGATGCTTTTATACGTTTAGCTTCAGTTATTATGATGATGTTGCTGTTGAGACTGATGTTGGGCTTTGTTGCCTTATTTGGTGAGCATGGGGTTTGTCCAAGCCACATTGATTGACGATATCTTGTTTTTAGTTATGAGTTGTAATAATGTATCAGGATATTTTCCAGGCTACGTGTTGTAGTCCTGTGACATAGATACTCACTTTATTTATATATTGAGGTATTTCAGTTAGCTGTCTTTGCAATTTACATACAGGCGATGTTTTTATGAAAATGATTAAGTAATCAACTTGGCTAAGTATAATGACGTCATAATTGAAAAGAAAAAGATATTCCACATTTTTTAATTAAGCGTGGCTTAATACGATGATATGTTAACAAACCGGGTATACACGGGGTGTTACAGCTGTGACTCTGCAAGCCTTGCCATCTGTTCCTACTATTAAACGGGTTTATACTATGAATGTTCAACAATCTGATAAAGCTCTGAATCTGGTTAAAGGTGTATTTTTTTTTCTAATCATGATTTATCTGTATTGTTTAATTCTAAAATGACATATTCTTTTATTGCAGACTATGTTGCTAAAGGGTTTAACTTAACTGTAACGAAGATGATTCCCCCTATGCGTATTACTACCGCTACTGGAGAAGTGCGTGATTCTTCATTCATTTGTAGAGATGTAGAGTTTAAATATGAAGGCAGGGGTTACACGGTGGATTTGATTATATTATCACTGGCCACTATTAATTTGATTTTGGGTATAGACAGGTTGTTTAAAAACTGTGCAATGATTATTTGTTGCGGAAAGAAGTTAATATTGTCTCGTAAGGAGCCTTTTGTTAGTCCTTCTCCTTACTTATATGTGTCAAACTATTAAGGCTTTAAGGGTTGGGGCTGTAGGATATGTATTTATGGGTGGCCATGTTGGTGAAAAAAGTGAAGAGATTTTGAATATTTCGGTGGTGAAGGAGTTTGTGGAGGTGTTTCCTAATGAGATACCAGAATTTTCACCTGAGAGAGAGATTGAATTCTCCATTGATATGTTGTCTAGTGTGGGGCCTATCTCTTTGGCTCCATACCGGATGTCACCATTAGAATTGGCGGAGCTGAAGAAGCATATAAAGAAACTTTCTGTGAAGAATTTCATTAGACCTAGTGTGTCTTCATGGGGAGTACCTGTAACTTTTGTAAAGAAGAAGGATGGTAGCATGTGACTGTGCATGGACTACCGGCAACTTAATAAGGTTACTGTCAAGAACATGTATCCTTTGCCACGAATTGATGATCTCTTAGATCAACTTAGAAGTGCTCTTGTTTTCTCTAAGATTGACCTTTGGTCAAATTATCACCAGATCCGGATTAAACCGGAGGATGTTCCTAAAACGGCATTCTGATCTAGAAATAGACATTTTGAGTACCAAGTGATTCCATTTGGACTCACTAATGCTCCGACGGTATTCATGGTTTACATGAATCACATATTTTCTCTTAATCCTGATTATTTTTTTAAACTTTCTAATATTTCTTTTTTTTTCCTAACCTTATTTCAATGACTGATTATTCATCTTCTGCAAAGGAAGGAACTATTGAGAAATAGAGACAGATGCCCCTGAAATCTCTTCCAAGGGATTTATTATTGCATATTTTTGGAGTTATTAATGTAACATTCTTAGAGTCTATTATAGACATCATTCAATATTAAGTTGCAAATCCCTTATCTATTTTATCTTTTAACTATTTCTTTAATAATTGTGTCCTATAAAATTTTATTTATAAAATTTATTTAAAATTTACGTTAATTTTTACGAGACAAATAAACTAGCCTTTTTTTCCATGCATCGTATAAATAATAAATTAATTATTATTATTTTGGGATATTACGTGTCGCATTAGACACTCGCATAACTTTTACAAAATATTGTGTTGGTTTATATTATAAGAATATGTCGACAAAGTATCGAAATTAAATTTGATACCACAAAATTTTTAAAATACTAATCTGATAATATATTAATGGTTTTAAGTATCTTAGCAGTCATATTGTGTAAAGAATTGCCACCACAAATGTGATATCCCATCCAAAATGTTAACACGCCAGCTATACTAGGGTGCTAGAATAAGCAAATGATTTGATGCCAAGATTCTTCATTGTGGGGTTCTGAACGACTAATCAAAAGGTGAACGCAACGTAGTTCATGTCACATTCTCTTTTATTAAAATGTGTTTTTGAGACTTTTTCACTAGCATTGATGGTGGCAGCTGGACAAGGAAATATATGGAATTTCAAGGCCCAAATCAATAAGAATGCGGGAGAATGAATTAATTATAATAACATGTCATACCTAAAGAACAGTTCTGTATTTTAAGAAAAAAATAAGAGCATTTGAGTTGGAATTTTCTTGTTAGTAAATAATATCATAATAAATTATTATTTCACCTATAGAAAATAGAGTTTACACAATCGAAGTAGAATACGGTATGTTAATAAAATTAATTCCAAAATATTAAGTAAGATTTTTGTGAGGAGATATTGATATAAGAAAATTAGATAAATATGCAAATTTTGCTATAGAGCTTCCAAGGTTAAAAGCAGATTTGATCTGTTCATAGACGATGACTCAAAACATTGGATTTGATTCATGTTGAAAAGCCTTGATTGTTTAATTAATTAATTACGGTCAAATAAGTGTACCACTCTAATTTCAAAATTGGCTGCAAAGTCAGCAATGTAACCTCTTTCAACGATTCCAGGTGGACCCAAATTTCGGTGTCACGCATCCATTTTCTCCAAGTTGAGATTCAATGCGCATTAGCAACTGCTTTTATTAAGTACTGAAGTACCAAAGTAATTCTAATTTTTACTTGGAAACATTTAATTATTGGTTATCTTAGTTATCGAAGAAGCGAAAAAAAAATACCAGAAGAATACATCCTCTCATATTTTATTTATTATGAGCATGTTATTGCTTATAAATAAAGGGAAATCAAAGTCTCCAGCAGCTGCAGTAAAATTAATCTTTATTCTGCTCTTACCATAAAAAGTCGTGCATTCCTTTTTGATTTCTTTTTGTTTTTAAATTTATTTGGACTCTACCATTTTTTTCTCTCAGCCGGAGAAAAATAGTATTTTCTTGTTACAGGAGAGCCATCAACCCTATAAATAAATTAATGGTTATTTTTTTATCATTTTTTATTTAAATATTTTTTATTTTTTATTTTTTATTTCTCATCACTATTGATTTGTTCATAAACGATTAAAATTCTCTTAAATATTTTTATCAAGTTAAATAACACATGAAGGATGAACACATTTAAGCCAACGTGAATAATTCCATCGGATTGATAGAATAAGAAGCTTGAGCTCAATATTAGAAAAATATAATATAAAAATCATCGATTGGGCCTTCACTTATCAACTTAAAATTTTAGGTTAAATAGTTGATTTATATGGTATGAGGGCCTCATTGATGGGCTATGTATATTGAGTGTTTGGAGATGATGCTGGTTAGTGTTCTGGTTTGTCAGCTTTGCAAACCCATGCAGGTCATCTTTCCAAACACCTGCATGATGAGGAGCCAAGGTCTCGATGAGTGGAGCCAAGCATTGATGTAACCCCATGAATACTCGAAGAAGCCTCCACGTGAGAGGGAGAGCATATTAGAGAGATATAGTATAAAACTATTGATTAGGCCTTCACTTAATAGCTTGAGCTGTTAGGTTGAGATGGTTGTTTATAATGGTATCAGAATCGAGATCATGGGTTCGAATCTCCAAGATGACACTTTACATGAGGTAAGTGCGGATGGATTGTTGGAGAAGCCAACATCTTGCCTTGGCAAGACCTAGTAGGGGGTCGAAGTCATATCGAACCATGGCGCTTGGGATAGTAAGAAAATGACCTTACTTAATAGCTTAAGTTGTTGGGTTGAATTGATTTTTTACATTGTATCAGAGTCTCCATGACCGAGGGGTCACGAGTTCGATCTTCATTTCCCCCTATTCTATTAAAAAATAATTAAATGTTTTGCAATTTCTAAGCACAATTACGGGCATAATGCATTGTTCACCCATCAAGCCCAATAGACTCTTGTGTGAGGAGACGTGTTAGATAGATATCGTATAAAAACATTTATTAGGCTTTCACTTAATAGCTTGAGTTGTTGGGTTGAAATATTTGTTTATCATAGTATCAGAGCGAATGCCATATGTTGGAATCGCTAAGATAACACTTTGTAGTACTTCCTTAATAGTTTGAGTTATTGGGTTGAAATGATTATTTTACGTGCACACCGGAGCTTTTGGTCGCTTAGATTAATTATCAGTATCAAGATATGTATTATTTTTATCAATAAATTAAAAAACAATTAAGTCAATCTAACCGAATAAATGGTCGATGTTACGACTTCGACAAGTGAACTAGTAGTAAAAGTAATAAAGTGTACTGAGTACGAGATCGTTCCCACGGGGATTAGAATTTCAATCACTAACTCGCTATTTATGCTTAAGTTGAACAATTGATCAAAAGAATTGTATGAAAATTAAACTAAATAACAAAGCATGAAAGTAAAATTCGAATTACTTGACAATCAAGAAACATAGTTAGGGAATCAATTTCCACCAATTTCCCCTTTATGTTTTGAATTAAAACCTTAATTAGTCACCTTTTTAATATTGCCCATAAATTCCCATAAATTAGTTTCAACTCAATCCTTTGGCATTCTAACCCTTTACTCCCTTAAGAGAATCTTAATTCCTTGGTGTTTTTCAAAAGGATTTAAGCATTAATATCAAGAATAATAAAAATGGCACAATTAATATGTATATTTCTAGAGTCATACAAATTAATGATGAATGAGTCAAATCAAATTCATATACCAATATCCCTATTGTTACATACGAATCCTAATTCAATCTACAAGAACAACTAATAGAAAGCATTAAGTAATGATACATTCATTCAATATAAAAGGGAAAATTACATTAAAGATTAATTTAGAAATATAAAGATTCAATTGGATTCCATCTAGCCCTATCTATAAAGAAAATCTAGCCTAACATGGTGAAATCAAGAACATAAGAAAGCTTCCCCAAACTCCATTGATGTGATAATGCAGTCAATCTTCAAGGTTTCCAACATAATCCCGTCTCCGGCTCTTAAAAGAATGAAAGACTCGCTCCTCCGATGAAAACTACACCTTTGGTGTCAAGTTTTGTCAAAGACACATGATAGCTTAAATAGGTGTAGGAATCCTTGTTTTAGGTGAAAACCATGTAATGGGCCTTAATTGGGTCACTGGGCGTTAAATGGACTGGAGCGCGTTAAAATGCGCTATTTTAACAGCAAAAATATTGTTTCGTATTTTGGCCATAACTTGAGTTGTACTTGTCCAATTGATGTGATCTTGGTCTCATTGGAAAAAAAGAGAGATCTACAACTTCTATGCAGAACAAGAGATCCAAATCCAGATTGTCGATATGAAAATTGGCCAAAAGATAGCTTTAGGCAGATTTTCACTATATAGCTGCTCCTTATTTATTGCTTTAAGTTCAGCAAGCTTAACCATTACTCCAATGGTCCAATTCAATTCAATTGTCCTACATAACAAGCAAGAATCATTCACATAAGTCAATAATTCAAACCCCATGCTTTTTAGCCAAATAACTCTAAGTTTTCATGCTTTTGACTAGATATAAGAGTGATTTAAGTCCTTAAAAATATGATAAACAATAAGTATATCAAATCATTCCCAAATTTAGAATATTATTCTCCCCAGCAATCAATTAAAAACAAAGCTATGGGAAATGAGACGAGTTCATGTGCTTAATGAATTTTTTAACAGGAAAACTAATCAATGTAAAAAACAATGGAGTATTCAAGCTTAATAAAAAGAAAATAATGAGGCACCAATTCAAGCAAGTATTCACAATCCACAAGTCATAGATTTGTAACAAGAATTCTCAAGATAAAGAGTAAAAAAATTAAACCAAAACACCCCCTCGGTAAGATTTCTAATTCATTCACACTTAAATGTCTAAAGGTACGTGTTTCATTCTTTCTTCACTGAATCGAAACTACCATAGGCTTGGCTATGTTCTCACTATCCACAATCTCAATGGTGTACATAGTAGATCAAAAAGTCTTTTATTAAGGTTGTAACGTGGTCTGGCTAAAAGGAAAGGAAATAAATGGGGGAAAAGTGGCTCTAGATTAGAA